TTCGAGCAAACGGAATGCTCATGAGAGATAAATAGCGGCCTTCGTCATCTTGATTCCTCAGCACCACGCAAGGATTCTTAATTATGGGTGAGCAGATACTCGATTCTGATCCGAGTACCTTGATTCGATGATGATGACAGGAGTCTCTTTATGGTTAATACCACCTGCTCACATGAGACAAAAGTTCAAAGAAATCATGGATAATCCCATGAGATTTGGCGCGGTCGCCCCTCTGGACCGTTTTGAACCTCATATCACTCTGACGACGATCGACTCAAGCGACCCAAACTACGTAAAAATCCTACGAGACGTTATTCCAAAGATCGGCAAGACGAGCGTTCGCGTAGATTTTGACTACGTCGGCATGGAGGAGACATATTTTCGTTCGTGTTTTCTCCAAGCCAGGAGTACGCCGGAACTCGAGCTCCTCATGACCAAGATAAACGAAGCGCTTGGGATTATGGAACCCCCTCCCAAATTCCCTCATCAATCGGTTTTCTATGTTCCGGATGAAAGATCGAGAGAGAGAACAGTTCTGACGAGCACGCTCGGTGGAGGAATTGGATCCCAACAACTTAAGGTAAGACTACCAGTTCTCAACTTTTTTAACGTTTGGTTAAAACTTCTTTGAACAGGCGTGGAGCTATGACGCTACGCATATTGCCATTGCTTTCTGCGACGGTGAATGTAAGGATTGGAAGATTCTCGAGTGCATCCCGCTAGTCCGTCCCGCCTTTGTTAATTCATCTCGTTTTTCTTTCTTTAATCATGCTATCCCGACAGGCATAATAGAGGACGAGGCCAGGCATTATCGACTAGCGAAATCCATGAGTTTGTCCAGTATAATCATGAAATAAATACGCTGTTTGCGACGTCCGTCATCCGGCTGATGATTACAAATGAGTCGCGGTGAGTGATCAATCAACGCGACTGCTTTGCCAGCACTATTTATTTGCAGAAAGGGGAATGTGATAGATCCCTTCCGAGCCACCTTGCGCGTCCCGCTTGCCATCGAAATTTACCCCTTGCTGGCTCTATGCTCCCATCGACAAGTGAGAGCTGTGAATGAATCCGTCGACTTGTACGTATACGGGCGGCTACACGTAGCTCGGCGAGAGGAGAATAGCAAGACACCCGTCGCGGCATTAGGACTGGGAGGCCCTCGGCACTTCCATGAGAGCGTCGAAGCTCACGGAAGTATCGTCGCATGCACTGTGGCGGCCACAAGTGCAAGTAGAGACCACTGGGCATTTCCCCCTCGTAAACTCTCGAGGCGTTCTTCCTCGGGGAATTTGATATTGCATGACGCAGCAAAGGCACAGATGAATGTCCGAAGCGTTGGTGAATTTGGCAGTGTCGAGAGCTTAATAACTTATGAAGCTCACAGGTACTGGGACAAAGTCGGATACCAGCGAATGCGCGAACCGTTCTCGCGGGTCGGGTCTGGGCATGGCGATACGCAGCAGCAGGTCTCTACTCACGGTGAGCACATGGTATTTTCGCGCTCGCAGATGCCATCTCCGCTGCGCTCAGACAAGATGATATTTCTTTCTCTAACAAGATGCCTGTGCATATAGTCGAGTTATTCGGTTGGGTTTGTGCGCATCACGTCCATGACGGATGCAATTGGCAGTTTGCTATGGTTACCGAAATACGTAATTTGTGTCGATCAGAGTTCGGAAACGCTAATTTGAATGTCGAAGCACACCCCGATATAGCAGGTCGGAGAGCGAGGTTCTGAGGATTGTCGGGTGATGTCGAGGGGAATAAAAGGCAGAATATATGCAGAATTAGGGGGAGAGGGGAATATTTCTGCGAATTAAAGGGAATAAAGGGGAGGGACGGAAGCAAAGGGAGAGTGAAGTGATGGGCGCAGAGACGTCGATCTGGGCAAGGCAGCAATCTAGACCGTGCCCTGAGTCCCAAGCGATCCGGTCTCTTCTCCGCCCGCGTCCTCTCTCGCCTCCTGCATTCATGCCCTCCTCCTCCTCCCCCGCGAAGTCCACCCATGTCTGGCTCTGACCCGCCATCCCAACGGTCATCCAGCGACGACGACGACTACGTCTTCGACCCTCTCCCCGTCGCAGACCATCCCCCTCGTTCCCCCTCGCCCCTCGCCAACCATCCCATTAACCCCGTCTTCGAAAAGCGAGTGCTGTAAGACCCCCTAACTCGTCTTTCGCCCCAGAATTTTTGATAAACATTTCTCTTGCATTCTCATCTTCAAGGCGCAAGGTCGACCGACGCTTACTACCTATCCTCGCAGTCCTCAATGCACTCGCATACCTCGACGCGTCAAACCTACCCAGTGCTCGTCTACTTGGTGCAGCCGACGAACTGGTGAGTTTTGGACCCAGTGCCAGCTCACCGCAGCGACCCAGCAAGCTAACAACTCACGTATCATCCAGGGACTCGATATCGGCAGGCGCTACAATATCATAAACTTGATATTCTTTGTTCCTTTCATCTCGTGCGTGAAGTCCCCCCTTGCCACGGCACATCCCACTGACGCGTTCTCACCATTCACTTCCCCTCCAGTTTACAACTCCCCTCCAACCTCGCGATATCCCGAGTGGGTGCCCCGACCTGGCTGGGAATTAATGCCATACTCCTGGGCGCTCTCACCATCAGCATGGGCTTTGTCGGTGACTGGCGAGAATTCGTCGGGTGTCGCCTTCTCATAGGGTTTCTTGAGGTTTGTTGCGTCCATGTGTTGCAAGGCGTCAATTCTAATTCACTTCCCCCCCTCGTCAATCAGGCCATAATATTGCCCTCGTAAGTCCCCTCTTTCGAAGCGCGCCTTCCTTCATCCTCATGTTCCCTCTCAGATGCGTGTATTTGATTTCGACTTGGTACACCCGACGCGAATTGCACTTCCGTTTCGCCGTTTTCTATTCCGCGTATGTCGCGTCTAAATCATTCCTTTTGACTAATTATTTAACCATCTCTCTTTAGAACGGTCTTTGTAAGCGCGTTTGGAAATATTGTCAACTACAGCTTCAGCAAGGTTCACTCTGGATCCATGCAAGGGTGGCGATGGATATTGGTACGTACCAAACCTCCTAACATACATGCGGAGGGGTTGCTTCCATCTATTGCGGGGCTAACACGTGTCCCCCCTTCACGCTTTCTTCACGCCCTTTCATCCAGGTTCTTGAAGGTGTTATAACTGTTATAGCCTCGCTTTATGGCACCATCAGTACGTTCCCGCTCGCTTGCATCGCCTAATTCTGGTTTACGACCCCATTTCTGCTAGCTTCTCTCGACTTGTCAGTGGCTCCACAATTCAATTTTTGTTATTTAACGCCCGCTCATATTCACGCGCATCTTTGGTGTCCCCCTTCTTCCAACTTACCTCCTACGTGCGGCCGACGCACACGACAGTCCCGACAAGCGGGTACACGCCAATGAACGTTTTTTTGGGCGGGACGAACGGCGCCTAGTTCAACAGCGCATACGCGAGGACCGCCAGGACGAGCAATTCGATGGATTTTCGGGCGAGAAGTTCCTCGCGTATGCTCGCGACGCGAACGTCTGGTTATTCGGTCTGATGATGTTTTGTGCAATGATGTGAGTCGTGACTGAGGTTCTTAAACGATCAGTCGCTAAACCGATTTCTCGCGAAAGGCCGGTGTATGTGAGTGAACAACTTGGACTCTGCTATGTGCTAACGTGCTGAAGGTGGGGGGTTCCGGTGTAGGCATATGTGAGTGACTCGCTGGTGACTGCTTCGAGATGTAGTTGCTGAGACTTCACTTTATAGTTTTCCGTGAGCATGACAATTTATTATTCTCTGTTCATCGGTCGGTCTGATGCTTCTCAAGTTTGTTTCGGTCTCGATGCCGTGAGTAATTTCCTTGTCTCTTACTCTTGGTCAATGCAAACTCCCTTCCTTCATAGACGTGAAAATTTAAGTCTCGTGGACACTCAGGCATTGGTACGAGATGACATCTCATCAACCGCCAGTGTACCAAATTTATTGAATTAATATGCGTTCAGTATATACCCGTCGGTCTTTTTGCATGCGTCGTCGTGCTCGCCGCCCCTGTATATGCGAGGCTACGAGGCAGCGCATTGACACCCGTCGTTGTGTTTCTTTTCTTGATGACTCTTCTTGGACTCTGCTTGATCGCCTACCCGAATGCAAGGGCTGTGAGTGGATCCAATATCGCTGTCTTACGAGTACTCTAACGACTTGTCGTATTTATTTTAGGCGCGATACTTAGGATGTTTTCTTGCGTATGCTGGGGCGCAAGGTGGGTGCTTTTCCCCTTCTCGTTCTTCAGGCGCATGTAATCTGACATAATAATTTTAGCGAACGTCCCAACCATTCTGGCTCACGTACGTCCCCGCCCCTCTTCATACCTATCGCTCTATAGCGCATCCGAATGCTAACACTCCTTCCAGCAAGCCATCAATACGCGAACGTACTCCAAGCGCGCTATCACAGGTGCAATCGTTCTCTCGCTCGGCAGCGCAGGTGGGCTACTAGGCAGTGCGCTCTTCCCGCCCCAGGACACCTCATACACGACCGGGCTCAGCATCGCGATTGGCCTCCAGCTCCTTGGTGCCCTCGCCACCATCTCGCTGTCGTCACGCATGCGGAAGGCGAACGAGGCGGCGAAGAAAACGCAGTCGAATGTACCGTATTTCATTGAGGGATTGGAGGGGTTCGAATATTGTGAAATTGCTAGCGTAGTAATATAGGGTAATCGACGACATGATTTTATACCTAGATTCATAGGTTGCATATATGCGTTTATGTAAGTCCGTACGGGAATTTGGTTCGCTTGCCAAAATGTTGAGGCCGGCGATATGTCGGACATTCACTCTTTGGAACATATCCTCCATATATACCATCGCTGGTCGTAACTTAGAGGTGGTGTATTTCTTTCTTGAATTACCCTCACATGCTTTCTCTTTGTTTGTAAACAAAACTCTGAGTTTGTGCCTTTTTTGAGTGTACAACTATATATATTTAGAAGTAATTCGTTCACTAAGGCGTTGTGGCGGAGTGGTTAACGCGAGAGATTAGAATTGACGTCAGTAGGATTCGAACCTACGCTTTTCATCTCTTCCATTTATGGGCACAGGTTCGAATCCTGTCGACGTCGTTTTTTGACACCTTACATTGTTTAGAACACACTTTACCATTTTTCTGGCGTTTTCTATGATTTTTTTGTGCATTTCTAAGGCTATTTCGTGGCCTCGCGACTTGGTGTCCGCTTTGGGTAACTTATGTCGCGTGGCTATGTTTGTATGTGTTTGCTTTCTCGATAGTTTCGAGGCGATGCAACTTTTGTTTCTTCGTCCAACATACCCGACATGGCGTCAAAACTCAAGGCACAAGCTGAAGCACAATCGAAGGGAAAGCGAAAGCATGTAGACGAAGATGGAGACCAAGTCATGGCAGATGGCGACACTCGTCCTTTGAAGAAGAAAAATAAACAGCGTGTCCTGCTGCTTTGCTCGAGAGGTGTAACGCATCGAATGCGACACTTCATGAACGATCTGGAAGTCCTGCTACCTCATGTGAAGAAAGGTATGTTTGTGCCATCACATCCTATTCATCAACAGAACTCATTTCTTGAAACTTTACTGTTCTGAAGACTCGAAACTCGACTCCAAATCCCAGCTACACCTCCTTCCCGAGCTCGCGGACCTCCACAACTGCAACAACACGCTCTATCTCGAGGCGCGGCGGCACGAGGACCTGTACATGTGGGCGGCGAAGACACCGAACGGGCCAAGCATCAAGCTGCACGTACAGAACATCCATACGATGGACGAGCTCAAGATGACGGGGAACTGCTTGAAGGGCAGCCGGGGGATCGTGAGCTTTGACAAGGGCTTTGATGAGTCGGAGTGGGGGAGGCTGACGAAGGAGGTCTTTACGCATGTACGTGTTTGTCTTTTTTGCATTGGTGTTTTGGAAGAGAAGATTAACGAGTCGTGTTCCATGTACAGATTTTCGGCGTGCCCCTTTCCGCCAGGCGTGCAAAACCGTTCATCGACCATATTCTCTCCTTTTCAATCCTCGACAACAAGATTTGGTTTCGGAACTTCCAGGTGCGTTCTTTTCACCAACCCTTCTGACTCTTATTGCTACTGCGATCCGCGTAGTAGTGAGCACCTTGTCTTTTCTTGAACTGAATCGCCATCCTTATACTCACAGATCGTCGAAAAAGACCCCTTACAACCCAACGGCCCTCCCCAGACGTCCCTGATTGAAATTGGGCCTCGATTCGTACTCACCCCAATCCGGATATTCGAAGGCGCCTTCAACGGGGCGACCGTATATTCGAACCCAGGTACGCTTCCCTTCGTCTTTCAAGATTCGATGGCTGAGACTCGTATGCTCACCCGCCTTGACTTTGTTCTTCTTTCTTTCACAGAGTTTATCACACCCACCGCCGTCCGCTCCGCACACCGGCGCGAAAAAGGCGACAAATACAAGATGCGCAAGGAGGATCAAGCAGAACGGAACGAACGACGGGAAGCGCGCAGGAGGGAGGAGGACGAGCTTGCGGTGCACAAGGTTTTCGCCTGATCGCCTCAGCGCCTCAGCCTTTGTTTTCTCGTTCTCTCGGTTTTCACTGTGTACCTTTCCGTTCTCTGCGTTGCACTGCCCTCCTCCGGATCCTGGAGACGAAGAACGGCTTTGTATTCCATGCAAATCTTCTTATTTGTCATGGGCGGGAGGTACCTCTCCGACTCCGTCGCGTCTTAGCGGATGTGTTTCAAAAGTACTTGTATTTTACTAAGTAGATAGTGGTATTCAAGACATGGTGGTTATTGATTTGGATATCAGGGTGCCGTTGGTAAAATAAACTATTTGCTACATGAGGTGTGCTGCAGACTGTGCAAGAGTGATACGAAAACAAACAAATGAGGGGCAGAGGATACAGTCAAGAAGGTTCGAATGCGAAGACGAAATAGAAACGAAGAGAAAACGAGGTATTACCGATTATAAACGAAATAGGATGCTCCAAAAATCCAAGCTTTTAGTGTAGGAGAGATGGTGAACGAAAGATCAAGACGCCAGTGCTACAGATGAGATTTCATAACGAGAGTTTACCGTCGACGAAATTGTGCGTCGCGGATGGTTCGTAGGGTGGTGCCTCGGGTGGGTCACAACCCTTTGGTGTGTAAAGAGGTAGGGGGATAGAGTAGTTGATCTTGCGATCGCCATTAGGGTGATACAGCTGAGAATAGGCAGGAAGGGAGTTGAACTCGTTATATGATGGAGAAGAGGATGAGGACGACGCGGTCGAAGGAGCGGGTGACGCTGATCGGGAGGGGATTGGGGATGGCAACGAGGAAGAAATGGAAGATAAGGCTGGGATGGCAAGGAAGTCCTTCGCAGAGAAGGCTCGCTGAGGGGGCACGCGCGCGAAAGTAACTGGGACAGAGAAGACGAGTCTTTCCGTCGCTGGCTTCTGGCCCTCCACATCCGAATCGTAAACGCAAGTCAAATCGACCTCGATCTCATGGTGCACGCAGAACAGCGGCGTCTCCTCCGTCGGCCTCAGGGCCTTGACGCGCCCGTACTTGCGCTCCCAGTCCATGTCCTCGTTGACCTGCACATGCGAGAAGGGGACAGCGACTTCGAGTTTGCACCAGGCGACCTCGGACTCGCTCGCGGATTCGTGTGCGAAGGAGACGCCGCCCTTGGGGAGCTTGTGTCGGCCAGAGTGGCGTTTGGGGAGGAGGGAGAACGTAGAAGAGAAGGCGGATGCGTCTGGGCTCGAGACTGCTGCGGTGATGAGGCCGATGTCATACATGGCCTTGGTGGGATGTGGGTTCTGAAGCGGTCTCCTGTCGGTCTGCATTGATTCGTCGGGAAGAGGGAAAGCAGCGACATAAGAACTCTGAGGTGATTTGCTATTCGAGAGTCAGACACGGATAGTAGAATGACAAATGTGTTTACTCACTGGAAATGCTCAGTCTGGGTCAACTTGATCTCAAAGTCGGTCAGTCTGAGTCTCCGCTGCTGCTCGAGAGGCAGCCCCGCCGCTCGCAGGCGCACAGCCAGTTTCAAGTCATCCGCGTCGGTCGCAACGGTTTCCGGCACCGTCGCCAACACCTCGATCTTCTTCAAGACATCCTCGGGGATGCGTGTCGGGTCGCCGTTCGTGCGCGTCGGTCGGTCGCTCTGCGAGTCGATGGCGTACGTCATGTCGCCGAACAGCTTGCCTGCGTCAGCGTCGAACTCGACCTCGGGCTGCATGAAACGCGTAATCTCGACATCGCAGCGCTTGGCGTGCACGACGCGGTCCCTGGGCGAGATGCTGTTGCAGAGCGCGGCGAGCGACCATCCGCGCGCATGGCCCTCGCCGAAGGACGCGAACCGTGCCTCGGCGAAGAGGGAGTAGCGCGTGCCCGCTGCGCCGTGGAGGTCGCTGCCGAACGTGCTCGTCGCGGGGAGCCAGCCGGGGACGGGGATGTCGAAGACGAAGTTCCAGACGGCGGTCTTGCCGTTGTGGTCGCGGTCCTCGCGGCCGTCGGTGGACAAAAGCATGGCCTCGACGGGCGCAAGCTCGCGGGTGAAAGAACAAAGGCGCGTCGCGGTGTAGCCTGTCTCGTGCGTGACGAGCTCCTGGTAGCCTTCGAAGGTGAGGGTGAGCGAGCGCAGGATGGCCTTTGCTGAGCGGGCCTTGTCGAAGTAGAACTGGGAGGGGGAGATGGAGATGGAGACATGTCCTGAAAGCGAGTACGCGGTGCTTTGTGGTCGTCAGTGCGTGTTCGAGAGAGATGAAAGACATGCAACTCACGACGTCTCTGGCTCGTTGAACATGTAGAGGGACGAGGAGGAGGGGTGTATCTGCACAGAGATGGTCATGGCTGCTGCGCGGCGGAGGGAGGAGGAGGAGGAGGTGTTTGTGAGGAGAGACAGAGCATGGTGGTGTTATAAAGGAGAGCGAGAACAAAAGGCGGAGTGCTGGCTGGCGTCTGACAATGGACGGGCCATCTTCGTCACAATGAGCAGCGAGTACAACACCCGTGCGAATCCCCTCAATGGCAATGTCTTTCCGTCCGGTTATGGCGATCCCGGAAACACCTTATAATGTGTGAGGGGGGCGTACTACTTGCAATTAGTTTACATGTGTCTTGTTCAATCAATAACATTCAATATCCAATTTCACTCCTGCACGCTCACCCAGCTGTTCTCAACCCCAGACCCCACCACAAACGATCCGCTCCTCAAGTCTGAACCAGTCGAAGAAGAGGGAGACTCCTCGGACTCAGCTGCAGTTTCGTCGCCAGGTGCATTCAACGTTGTCGAGGTACCCTCCAAGCTCGTGTCCTCCTCGATAATTACCGAGGCATCTGCCTCCGCGCGCCTTTCATCCTCTTCAGGAATCGTCTTCGGAGGTAGCGCAGGAGATGAGATGTACGGTGAGATGGGCAGATACTTGTTACGGACGGCCATTAAGAACGCCGGGAGATTTAGCAACGTGTCGAGAACGACCGTCGGGAGGTAGGAAGCGAGCGTGTACGTCAGAGCTAAAGAACAATGCTTTTCAGTACCAGTACAAGAAATTAGATTCAATCTTCCATAAAGCGACTGACCTCCAGCGCCGATGCTGAATCGATTTCCCCACATGCTGCGGTGAACGTTAAGGACCCAAAGCTTCAGTCCGACAGCAGCTGAAAGGCAGCCGGTCCTTGCGCCGTTGCGTCCAACCGTGTTCACGATGCGACGCACAAATCTGTTCACGCTTGTAGGGTGCCGAGAGCCCTGCCCATGGACGCCTTCCATATAGCTCACGTAGGGTGCAGCATATATGGACTGCTCGGTCGCTGTCCATCCCTTGACCGCGTCCCCATACGCATCGACATCGCATGAGGGCGAGCCAACGCTGCCCACGGCGCCAACGTCCACCAGCACGACGCGCATATCTTGCACGGCCCTCTGCTTCCCTGTGAACCGAGCAGCCTGCCCGATTTCCCGCCTCAGGACTTCTGCACCCCGAGCAGTCGCGGCCGCGCTCATAGCCTGCGCAGAAGCGTACGGGACGCCGACACGCGCGTCTGTCGCCGGCAGACATATGATAATGCTCTGCTTCCTTCCAAACATAGCACCCGCTTCTCTCAGCCGCGCCGGAGTGAT